GTTTCCAAGATTAAGGAGCCCACAAAGCATTGGTTCTTCCCTTAATGTTGGCTGATTACCTTTCCCCTCTCCCTTATTTTGTTCCTAATCTGAACTTGTTTTTAAATCAGTTGCAATTTTCTCTCTAGGGGGAACTTGAATTTTGAGAAGGACTTCAAGCCTTTCCAGGTCTTTGCATACATAATTCATTTCAGATATATACTGGACTTACAATATCTTATAGTACAAAGAGTATCTCATCTTTATTTCCAGAAGTGAATAGACTTTTTCTGAATTTAAATTTCCTGAAAATTGATCAGGACACATTGCAAGTTTTGATTTCATTTGAGAACTGGAAATGAAACTGGATACCAGCAGGCTCAAAGTCATGATGAACACCTGGCCTAAACACAGCTGGCAAGCCTTCCTGGGCCAGTGGCAAACTGAGTGATCAGATGTGAGTTAAGACCCATTTCCTAGGAATCTTCTTTTCTCTTAAAGCTGTTAGGATGACTCAGAAATAAAACCACTCATTATCTGCCTGTCCTAATGCAAGTATATGAACATTGTGAATGGGAGAGTTTCCTTTATTCTTTAGACAAGCAGCTGAGCATCCATGGAGTTGGGCTACTTGGCAGGTGGGCCGGGTGCTAAGTCCAGCTTGGAAGATGCTAGGAGATGAAACTTTGCCTGGGGTGAAGGCTATTATAAGGAAAGTTTCATGAAGAACACAAATTTGAGCTGAGTCTTCTGTAGAGCCAGAAGAGAAGCAGGCTTTGGAAAATCCTCAGGGATAAAATGTGAACAAAGAAAATTGATACCGGAAGTAGGAGAAGGGCAACAACTGGCCTCATAACACTGGCCTTAAACTATAATTTAATTCTGAACCCAGTCTCCACTGGCCACTGGTATTAGGCAAGTCACTCCACAGGCTGGGAGATCTCACAATGTTCTTGTCAGATTGAAAGAAATCATGTGGTGCTTTCAGCCTGCTACCTGGGGTGTAATAAATGCTCAGTAAGTGAGATTCACAGTAAAAAGAAGTAATAATCCATGTAAACACCTGCTATCACAGAACTGGATATTGAGCCTTGGGGAGAAACAGCCCCTGATTCTGTGTATGAGTATTCTCATGGGAGACTTTCACCCCACCCATTGCTAGGGGCATAATCACACTGAATAGTCTCCTGACTTGAGCACGGGTATCAGTCTCATCATGGGAAATGTACCTAATGGGCCTGGTTTGTGGATCCCTGTCAACTTCATTTGCACATCTTGTACGGGCTCATATGAGCCAAGGTGTATTTCTCTGGGACTGAATTTAGTATATAGTTACTCCTTCTTTTGTCTTTGGGGTTAAGTGATATATTGAGAATCATAGTTATGTGTTCAAAATCTCTGGGTGTTTTTTTGTTGTTGTTATTGTTCCAGGGATGGAACCTATGGCTTTGGGCATGTTAGGCATGCATTCTACCACTGAGCTACATCCCCAGTTCCCTGTGAGTTTTATATTGACAGGTTCATTGCCCTAAGCAATTTTTAATTGCTATAATTTCACTACAGATTATTATTTTATTATTTTATTTTCAAAATTTGATACAACTAGCCCTCTTTAACACCAGTTTGGCATTCCTTCCTAAGGAATTTTAAAAAGGGCTTATTAGCTATTTTTATATCTTGAATTTTATCTTGTGGAATATTAATAGTACTATAAATTTTCCATATTTTAATAATATCCTAATATAACTTATTTTGTCCTTTTATTTTTAAAATTTTTTTAGTTGTAAATGTACACAATATCTTTTTATATAATCATTTTTATGTGATGCTGAGGATCACACCCAGTGCCTCACACACTGAGGCAAGCACTCTACCACTGAACTGTAGCACCAACCCTTGTCCTTTTATTTTTAACTTCTTTTTTTTTTTTTTTAGTTTAATTTCTCATTTTATTCTATGGCCACTTGATGAAA